AAAACCGTCATTCGTGCATTTCTCTCTAATTTTTTCCTGTTTAGGTGTGAGAGGGCCTCATGGATCATGTGATTCGGGAAACTTATGCTTTCTGCCGAGTTCCTGGCTCACTTAGCGGAATTGGCAAGAGTTATGACAATCTTTACTATCAGTCTGTGGAGCAAATTTGAAGCAGAACCTTGAAAAGTTTCCTAGGAGAATGGATGTACAATTTGGATAAACGATACACGTGTTGCTGAGATGGATTACGACACAGACAACTTATGCTTTGAATCAAGTTTCTGACTCTGGGCCAATTTTTTTACACTTCTAAGTAAAGATCTGGCTAAAGGGTCGTTTTTCTACTTTCTGAATGAAAATCAAGAAATTTTTTAACACTTCTAGGTACATCCGTTGTAAAAACGCAGAGTGAGGATGCAGCTCACTGAGCGTAAGCATAATCATTTTATTTACTCCCAGAATTTGAACAACAGTTTTGCAGTAATTGCATAACTGAGTCCATGTTTGCGGCTCGATTACCCGACGAAATCTTACTTAAGTGAGTTATTTCGTATTTTTGGTCTGTTTAGATGGGATATTTCTCAACACTACGGAATTCAGAATTACACAACCGCTTCACTAGGGTGTGATTCACTGAATGTAAAAAACATCGGAAATAATTTCGAATTAGAGCACAACTAAATGAGGCATACCTCTAGAATACAAAAGATAAGAAACATGGTAAGGCCGGGAAACTTGAGAGATAAATTGTTCTTATTTTTTTGCAGAAAGAGAAGTGTGCCTTAACTGAATTATTGACATAAGAAAACATGTATGAAACACGTAAATCAAATTAAATTTTATGAAATTATCCGCTTCACAAATTGTCATTCCGTGATAACCCTTTTTGCCCTCCCTTTTTTTGTTAGAGTACACGCTTACGTCAGAGGTCCCCTCTCTCAGACGCTTCAGTCTTTTGAATAACCAGCTAGGATGCTAACCAACAATATTTTCTGTAAAAAGATGCAAATGTCTGTTTCGTTGCCTTTCTCATGTATGTTTAGAAGACTGTGTCTCGGCCACGCTACTTATGTTATTCACTTTTTTCTGATCAATATCAAAATTGTTTTCATTTCGCGAGTTAATTGTTCATCAGTATCAAAATTGGCCGCATTCCGCGAGTTACTTTGAAAATTTAACACGTTTTACCGCAAAGATTTCCACGTTTATTCGTTGTTCAAAGTACGTGTGAGAAAATGACTCAGCTTTGTTAGAAATTACATTTACACTAACGTTTCACAGTTATTTTTCGCACATTCTCTTAATTGATGCATTTAAAATTATGCTTCAGTTTCTTTTCCGCGCGCTTGAAGGAACGAAAATACCACTCACTGTTTGTGATTTGTTTATAGGTAATGATAGACATGGATAGTAACAAAAAGGGAAAAAAATCAACTGACTATTTAAAATGAACCGCGATTGAGGAAATTTGCGGAAACAAAAGACTATGGAAATCTGGGAGTTAAATGGGCCCGCGTTAAGAATACATGAACACACAGATAGCGTGGCTAACAAAAAGGTATAATTCTGAATATGCACGCTGTAACATATTTTTTCTGAATATGTAAAGACTTCTCGGATGACATTGAAGCAAAAAATGTCAATTCAAAAAAAATTCCGGTTGATCTGAACTCTGAACCAACACAGGAAACCAAACAATTGAACCCAATATATGATTTTCCGCTCCATGTCAAGATATCTCATACACAAATAAACTGAAAGACCTGATCTGTCGGATAAGAAACTTGGGCATCCACTGTATGTATGATTTACCGTTACACCGTTAACCTGTTTGTGTTAATATATTAGAAACTCTTTCAGGTAGCCAATTTAAGTTGTCGACTCGGTTGATAAAACCATATTATCCTATTTGCGTCAGTGTTAACGAAAAAAAAAACACAGCGGGTGATTAAAATTATGACGTTCCCTAATTGATAATGTTCATTATTTAGAGTAAAATAATTGTTCATGCGTGAGGACACAAGTTAGCAGCGAACATCGAAATTTTTGTTATTATTGCTTAGATTTAATTGGTAATTATTTCTTCGTATTGGAAACTGTGACGTTGGCTCGGGGACTTTTCCCATTAATTGTTTTCCAGCGTTGTTGTCTAACCTTTCTGCGTCATGTTGTGGGTGAAAGTGGCGCTTAACTTTTTAAAATAGTCTTTCAAAAGTGATTTGTTAGCCTGAAGACGGAGGCCTATGATTTAATGTGTATATTCCTTGGGTACAACTTGATGTGAACCAAATGACAGTGTGGGTGGTGGAGGAGGTTAACAAAGATCAGAAATATTTTTAGCCCGTTCAGAGTTCTGTCCTAACTCAATTCTTAAATACAGATCGTAGATGATACCAAAAGCCCTAGAAAGCGGTGCTGCAATCATAATTGATCTTTAAAGAGTTTTGATACGAGGAAGGTATGGAATGATTGAGCCGACAGCTAAGAGATATCAGCCCTTGTAGGCCTGTATATCAGAGCTGTGATGTAGTACCAATTACGAAAGTGGGTTGTTTTCACGTTTTGGTGCGTAATATATGCGAAGATGTTAATTATCTAATATGATAAATGATGACAATTAGCCAAAACGAAAAACAAGTTTTGAAGCGACCACGTCAATTGTCCTTTATTCAAACTGCGACTCGATAAACTTAAATTATTTGAAAAAGCGTCACAAGCTTGGAATTTGCTGTTGTTTTTTTTCTTGCAATTTGTTTCTAAGATAAAACATCGATTTTGGTTCTGTCTCCTGTTGCAATCTATACACTTCAATATATCCCTGTGGGATCTTCTTAAATAACTTTCTAGGTTTTATCAATATCAAAACTATAAAAAATAGGAAGTATTTATGAACGACTATCTTTACATGATCTCACTCATAAAAACTTATGTTTTCAGACAAAACTCTCCGTTGTTTCTTGCGTCACGTTACCAGGGATGTGTGTCAGAGTTTGATTGATTTCCCCTAATTGCAAACATCTCGATCTTTAAATCTGGTATAAAATCAAATCTGGTATAAAAACAAATCACACAGCTTTGTTTTACTTGTTTTTGTCCCAGTTTGATGAAGTTTTTTCTTACTGTGGAAACAAATCTGCATTCAGTCCTATTTCATTGTTCGATCAGGCATTTTTTCTCGTTTCGCGACTAGTTGTAATGTATTTCATATCAAACTTTGTTCAATTACATGTCCATTTTGCTGAGTTTTAGATGATTTTGGTAATTTTAAGATTTATGTTAAATAGCCGGACTGGATGCTCATGTTAAGCTTTCAATTAAGAGGAAAAATTGAATTTTCTCTTTGCGAACATTCCCTCTGGCAATGTTTTATCTTCCAAAGCCTGCTGCTGCTTCGCTGATCTTTGTCAACTTTAATTCTCCACCTATAAACTTTAAACTACTATTTAAATATACTTTCAGCTATAACTGCATATGATATTTAAAGCTTTTCATACGTATAGTGCAACGGCCAATCAAATTGAAGAAGAAACGACACCCTGAGCAAATGAGTATTTAAGGAAAACACGAGAAACTGCTTGAAGCGTGGGTAAACGGTTTTATCTCTGTAATTGACTGGCCAATTGATTGGTTGAAAACAGTGCGACAAATTGTAATTGCAGCTGTGTTTGCTTCGAACAAGGGTCTGTAGGTAGGTTTCAATGATTTCTAAAGAGAATAGCCTCAAAACAGTGTTATTGATATGCGGAGTAGCTTACCTGTGTAAAGGAGGATGATGAAATACAGGGTGACGGATATAGGAGATATACTGGAGGACACGCCCATGGTTCGGTATCGGTGCCAAGCAGGTTCAATCTCACCTCGATAAGCAAAACAAACTGAATTTGTCCTATAAGTGGGTATCATTTATATACCTGTCTCCCAGTGAGTCAGCTTAATTTATCATCTAGAGAGTTTACCTCGTTCCTGCCTTGCTATTCGTTGATTAAGGGAACATTTGCCAATTTCAAAACCTTTGATGTCAAACAGCTTGTCTCAGCAATTAACGTCATCGAGGCAATGAGTGTTTGATGGGGTTATTAAACAGTTGTCAAGAGGCTTCCTGTATATGGTTTTTTTAACGAGGAAAACGTGAAAAAAAATTTAAATTAGGGCAATTTAATCATTTCATGATTGGTTAAATCCCTAAAAATATATAGAGGCCAGAAAGACGAAATGAGAAATCAGTAGTTAAAGCTGATAGGGAAGCTCAAAGGCTACAGTCGCAGTTATCTTGGGTGATCAATTTTTTTATTAATTCCTTTCTTTGTGGGTAAATTATAAGTAGAGATTTGTTCAAAATGAATTCAAATCAGTCCTTATGGGCGAAGATCTGTATTTTATAGGCATCAACGTGTTACTATTATTTCAGGCTGACAGAAAACAATAACTAAAATTCATCTCTCTCTTGTAGTATCCTTTCTCGGTTTCGATCGTTAGAACTGAGTTTTAAACCCATTTCTAGTTGATCCACAGTATTCTCCTTTAAAGAGAGAGAATTCTTTGTAATACTTTAGTATTCCAGCAAGGAAGCACGTTTTTCCAAATGATGCTAACCACTTGGATGGTGGCTTCGTAAATTACCGGAAGCGTACAAATCGTTTGAATGCGACACTTGTGTATTCTTGCTAAACCAAACCCAACTAAATGTGGCCCTCTCTGTTTCCTCAACTTATTTAACCGATACCTAGGCTCTGGCAAAGGTAGATTTGCAAAAATTCTCAAGCAAGACTATAAAATGCTTTATAACATGTTTTGAATTTTTTTTCGCTGATAAATGGCAATTTCAATATATATATAATTAATGAGTTTTGAGTTCGCAAACAGAGGTTTCCGGAATGCGACCAGAAAACAAGGATGCGGGAAGCATTAGAATTGTATTGTAGATTGTAGTGTAGAACAATATCAGTAGTGTAAATTTCAAGAGGGTAAAAAAATCGCGACAGGAAGTCGGAAGGCTCGTTTTTCTTCCCGAGCAAAAAATAGCAATTGTGTTTGATTCACTGAGGTTTTGAGGCAGGTCAGGTCAAGATAAAACAAAGTAACGATTTCCTCTTCCGCAATCTTTCCTCATATGTTTCGTCTTTTAATAATAGGTTGAGCCTTACGGCAACAAAACTCACATCATGCGTTCTTGAAATTTAGCTCAAAAGCCAGATTGCCTTTCTCTTGAACTAATTGAACATCCCTGCCTACACAATGCATCAATATCAAAACCAACTGCATCTAAGTAGATTTTGCTAGCAAAGCAAAAAACCGTAGACGAAACCACCATGACGATTCTTAAGTGTATACATTGTTCGTAGTGACTCAGCTTTGCGGGGAGGGGGCATTAACGTCAACATTTCTTAATATTCTTCCGCTATCCATGACCTCAAAAAATGTCGTTAGAGCAACCTGGTGTGAGGAATCAAGATCGATAAATTTTAATGATTTCGATTCAAGTTAAAAGTATTTTGTCAGGCACTCTTAAAAGCTCTCGCCTTCGGTGATATGTGATGTTTGTCGTTGAGAGCAGAAGCTGGAGTCAGAGAAATTAAAAGGACAACAGGAAAATTATTCAAGATCACGGAACTGTTAAGAGACCGGATATCCTTGAACAACTACCTGTCATGTGCGTGTCAGTCCCGTGTTAACAGTCCCACGTACATTGTTCTCATAGCAAATGATATTAAAATTTTAAACGTTTTCTTTTCTTTCTCGTACGTACATTTTTACAGTCGTTCATGCTAATTGTCCTCGTCAGGGGAAACTGATTGACAAATATTCCTAGAATGAGGTAGGTGGTGGTGCGAGTCATGATCAGAAATGATGACAAATACAGTGTATTCTGAATCATTTGCCTCAACAGTGTAAATTTCGATCAAATTAAAGTGCAACGAAGGATATTTTCAGGAAGTTTTATAGAAATACGATACACAGTAGTTGAAGTAACTCTAAACCAGCGAAACCTGATCTGGGCCGACATGTTTGAAACAAAAAAGAGGCACAAAAAAAAACAAACAAAATACACGGCTGCTTCAAATTTGGACTGCAGCACTGTTTATTGAACAACATGGCACAGTCAAGTTACCCCAAGAATAAACTTATGTGGAGAATGTCCTGAGAGAAAAGAAACTGGTGCATGTTGGTGGAAGGTCTGAGTAAACGAGGAATCGAGTTACCGGGCTATAATAAATGTATCAGGGAAATCCGGGGGAAATCAACTTTGGTTTTGAGTATAGGGAGTATTCGGGTTATTGGACTTTAACTGTATCATTACGTAATTTGAGTGAATCAAGCTAAACATTATGAAAAGTATACTGTGCATCCGAGTAATTTTTGCCGTGGCTCAAAGATAGATTAAGCGGGTATCATATATTAAAGTCAACTAGTCATTGTGATCGATTTTTGCCTCTGAAGAGATCTTTCACTATTATAACAGTCGTAAAGAGTTCTGCTTAAACGCTTAAACTTTTCTTCTACTGAATATGGCTGAGTTGATGTAAATGGCGAAATTCTAATATCCGTTATCAGAACTCGCTTAACTTGAGAATGCATTGACTTTTGGTTTACCAACGTGATCTATTAATGATATAACTTTCTATTTAGTTTCAACTTCAGAAAAAAATAGGAAACCTATCATCTAAGCTCAACATATGAAGTTCCGCTCAGTAAAATGATACTTTTGGACTCAGATACTTACAATAGAACTCCGCTAACTCGAAACTCCCAAGGGAAACGAAAAATGTTTCGAGTCAGCGGGAGTTCGAGGAATTAAGATTGGTATTGAATTTCAACTGTCCTGTTATTAATTCAAAGTAAAGAATCATGCTTTTGCAATTTATTATTTGTATATCAACGTTTAGTTTGGAAAGTTTAACTGACTGTTTTTCATAGATGTTATCACGTTGTATCAATTGCAATGTTGTCACACTTTTCACTTACAGCTCGAGTTCTCTGGCTAACTTTGAGCCAAGAGAAAGTACAATTAGTCGGGGAGTTCGAGTAAACCAAGTTTGAGTGAAAAAATAGGGTCAAATCTAAGGGAAATCGGATCTTGTTCGAGTTAGTGGGAGTTAAAGTTAACCGGGTTCGATTTAGCGGGGCTCCACTGAAGTCCTTGACTGATATGTGGCCCTATACTGTGCGAAACTAGTTGTACGCCTGCGTACACAAAATGCGTCACTCGCTGCATATCTATATATTTTTTGCTTCTTTGTGGTCTGGCCTGCTATATTTGCGTAGAGGATATGAAATTTACTAATGACTTTGTTTGCTACAAGTTATCCCGTGTCAAAGTGCACGTAAACAGCACTGACGAATAGAGATAAAATAGTTTTGATTTATTATTAGTAATTATCTCTACGTCAAAGAAACAATGACGTTCTTTCTGACCATAAACTGTTTTCGTTTTTGTTGGTTGCTGATCTTTTCTGCGTCATTATGTAATTGGATGAAACGTAAATGGCACAAACGTGTTATCTAGGAATGGCACTACATACCCTTTGAACCTTAATTAACTTCAATTGTGTGTGAAAAACGTTTGTACCTTTTTTATTATGAATATTTGCGTTGTTTTTTGATGACAGTAATTGTATAACTTATTTTGCATTAGTCAGCACGGATGGTAGAAGAAAAAAAGAAAGAAAATGAGAACGGTGTATAATTGTGGTATTTGAAGATCCATCAAGTACATTGATTATGCCCTCGCTATATCAGCCCTAAACGCTTGTATGTGATAAGTCTCGTTAATTACTTTCAGTCGTATTATATTGAACTGCGACAGAACGTAGATATCGAAGTAGGTCGTTGTCTCTTTTTCATAATAGACTAAGATGTCAATATTTCAGTGTCTGAGTGACGACAATAAAAAAAGACAGGAAAAATTCATGACGTCCTCTAAATGACGTCCTTATGAATAGAATGGTGCCACAATTAATAACTCAGGTTAAATCTAGTTTGGCGTTAAACATCAACGGATTCTGTAAGTGTTAGTTATGCTCAAGCTTTTTTTTTTCGTAATTAGTATTATTAGTAACAGTATACTGAAGCTGTTCACAACAGGTGCATGGGCTCAAAATTATCATTAATGTTATTACAGTTATTTTTGTTATAACTATTATTCCTATTTTAGGGCTTCTTCTTCCTGCAGTTCCTATATTTGTTGTTTGTCTGTGTGGATGATTTACTCACTTGATATCAATGTCATTGAATTTGTATTTCATCACTACTGATCATAGTCTGATCATTTCATTAGTAGTTAAACGATATTTTTGGTTGTTTTGTTTGTCTTCAACGATTTATACGTCGGATGGTAAACAATGTCTCACGCCTTTTAGTTGTACGAAAACAACGCTTGTACTAATCTTGAATCCTCTTTCTGCGATGTGCATAAACCTACACCGTAAAGCACAGACTGTCACAATTAAGTCCAAGTTTTTTTAACAATCTCCTGCCTATTCCCTCTCTTCTTCTTTCATGTTCGTTGGACGTGAAAAACACCTAGCCCTAAATGTACGAAAAGTCGAAAAGTCATTAACCCTATACACCCCGGAAAATCATTATGTAGTGGAAACAACCGCACGTTTCCCTGACACTCATCTGCTGAACATTAATCTATCCAATCCTGATCTTTTGTCCGTGGTGGATTGAATAGACTCCGTGGTGGATTGGATGAAATCCACTGAGTAACGGTCGATTGAACCAGGACCAAAGGTTCAAAATAACACCTAACTCTTCTTGCACTATATAAAAACGAACACTGACGCTTATTTTTTTGGGGGGTCCTATTTGAGTGCGTAGGTCAAGGTAGAAAGATTCCTGAACTTTTGATCAGGTATAACAACAGACCAGAGCTCAAAAGCGTAACGTGTCTCTGAGCTGGATCATTGTGCTCCCATCTCTTATGATTTACTCACGACTTACGACTACATTTGAAAAACCTTGGGACGGTGGTTAAAATTGTAGTTTGCTAGTTCAGAAAAAACAAAGGCGTGCATTGAAAATCCAGGCAATATCAAACGCTTCGTTCATAACCTCCCGCAAAGACAATTTATAAAAATTTGTTTCTGAATTTACGTCAATAACTTTCCTAATTAAAGAAATGTTAGAGTTTAATAAGCTTCGTGTTTACTGGGTTATACACTTGTCTTGACCGTTCAAATTTACATCCTATTTCTGCATTCAAAAATATCAGAAGTAGCCGTAAGCTATGAAAGGGTCGACATTGCCAGCCGCACGACTTCTAAATGCTTGCATTGTTAGTTTCAAGCAGCGCGTAAGCGAACTGCGATAAAGCATAATTTCGGAAGTGGTTTTTTTCGTTTCCATGATGATCAAATTAAAGATGTAGATATTTTCATATCATGACTAATGACAATAGCAACCAAATTAAAACACGCTAAAACAGCCTTGGACGTCTTCAATGATGTCTTATTCGCAAGATGTCATAAGTTCATGGTGGGCTGTTTTGATAAACAACTACCAATTACTCATTTCCATTAATTCTTCCTGCGTGAAGCTCTACCTGCGAATGCGGAAAAAATAGACCTAAAACATCGTATGACGTCTTCAGCAATGTCTTGTTTACAAGAGTTACAAATTCATTGCTATTTCCATAAGTTATTTAACAACATTCTTCTTGCCTGAAGCTCTTCGTACATACGGACCAGGAATGTACTTCAAATACAGTCCTGCTCCTAACAATGCCTATTAAAAGTTTTGATAGGCACTGTCAGGTGAAACATTTACCCTAAAGAAGCCTTTACACCCACTTGTCAAACACTTCTAAGTATCAGCTCACTCGGGGGTAAAAGTTCTAATCCACAAACAGACATTGGTCATTCTTTTTTTCGCGAGAACTTAGCCAGACGCTAAGGGAAAGTTATGTGCAGGGGAGAGAGGGTAACTCGTCATTGGCATGAAAAGTGCTTGAAAAAATAGCGCCTGTCTTTTAGGGTAAAACAAGTCCCGTGGAAAAGCCACTTTCTCGCGGGGGATGTAAATAACATGTTGTATTCAGGAAAAGGTTACGATCTAGACAAAAGCCAGAGGAATAAATATTTTGTGACAGTTATACTCAAGTTAAACCATGATTTCAAGAGTTTTTATTAAGTAAGAGCAAGCAAGTTAGGGGGAACTCGTTATCATCTTTGTTATGATAAGAGAGAAACTGCAAAAGGCCCATGTAAGACTCCGAATTAAGAAGTCGGTCATTCAGTTCGTCTTAGACACCCATACAATTTCCACATCAATTTCCTTTCAACCCTTTCAAGCTTGAGGTCTACTACAACAACTTTTTAAGTTTCTAATTTCGAACAACAATTTGCAATACTTTGGTGATACAGTCTGCCGATATTAGCATTTTAAGTTTCTATATTACGCTTTTGGTTGGATATCAATGCGACAGTCGAGTTTTCAGAACTTAGTTCCATTCTATTAGTACCATGAGATCAAGCTAAACTTTGTTCATCATATTCAATCGACTTTGGCTGAGATGAGAACAATACAAGGAGTGTTGCTGGTTGCCTTCATTAACCAGGCCTGCGGGCTCGTAAAACACAATTGTACTTTATCTTTCATTATTCTCTTTAATATTCGATTTCGTCATCAATCGCTGAACCCTGAGCAAGAGAAACTAATTGTTCATTTCCTCTGAATCTCCTGACACGTTTGAACATAATCAAGCTAATTTGTTTTTTCAAACAAAACAAAAGCAAACCAATGATTACTCCAACAGAAGAAATTAGAGTCAAGGTTGCAGCTAAGACAGTACTCAATGCATTGTTTATCAAAATCACCCGAGCGGGAATCCTTGGGTTTTGATAACATTTGTAAGACGAACTTTTCGAGCCCCACTGTTCAAGGAAAACGTTGACATGTTTGTAAACGTCCGCAGTCGCTCCGCATTCGGAGTCTCTGAGTATATAAGAACACTCTTTGGTTATTTGCCGACGGTCCCTAACGACTAAAGCGTCATGTTCCGATCGATTATTGTAAGACACATAAATTTGCAGACAAGGATAATAAATTGTGCATTTTGCGTTGGTGTTTCGTTTGATACAGTCGCATTGAAGTCTCTTGTCTTGAGCTGTGATTAGTTTTGTGGCCGTGACACTACAAATTCCCAATTTAAATCTTGAACTTTCGATCTTTGGAAGCGTAACCAGAACCAACACGAGAAGTAGAGACAAAATTGAAGTCACAAGGATTCCTTTGGCCACGCGTGTCACTTTCTTGATGAGATCAGCTTGTTGCGACCAGTGGACATTCATTTAAGTCGGACCAAAGAGAAACAGATACTTACGATGCTCAGTAAATTCTATACTTGTTCTATTATATGGCTGCCTATAGAGGATAAAACAAAAAGTATAAAACAACAACTGATTAGCTGTGGGCTACATTTTATTTCATTTCAGCTCGTTCCAGCACCGTGACTGTTAAGAAAGATTTATAGCCCGTGGCTTATACACTCGTATCCGTTTAATATAATGACTTATCAGTTCTATCTTAGATACCAGTTTTGTTTTCTTAATCAGGTGAAACGAACGTGCAGCCGAGTGACGAAGGTCAACGGACACTTTATCAGAGAATTGATTAAACCCTACCACACATGTTATGAAAATTAATTGTCAATCGAAAATTTGGTGAACCCGTGCGGTTTCTTCTGAGGGGGAACAATCATTGGTATGGTTGATAATGTAATATTTAAATGTCATTCGCGTAAAATTTCTGATGTTGTAAAACATTTCGAGAGTGAATGATTTAAACAGCAGATTCGACGTAATTAAAACTGAGGAAAGCGAGATGGCTGAAAAAATACACTGACAAAACATGTCTGCCGAACGTGTCAACCTGTAATTGTTTTATGTTCGAGACACCGCAGACTACTGTGCGTTAAATTAAAATTCATAAGTCCAACATCAAAACATTTAGAGCTCCTTCAACATCAGAGGATGAAGTGGTAAAAATGAAAATATTATCTAGAATACTCTTTAGTTTTCCATAATAATAAGAGTAATAATATGATGCATTATAAATTGCAACGGCGATTGTCTAATGTATGCTATGATTGTCGCTGCAATTGAATAGCGTGATTCATCGAAAGACTTTCGTTCAGCCTGTCGACTGGAGAATTTCTAAAGCCAAAATTTTCACATAAACACAACAGTAGTTTCTTTACTAAGACTTACAACTGACATAATTACCAAAAAAGACAACAGATTCGTCGGGAGTTAACATAAATAACACGCGGAACATCTTACCTTAGAGAGCAGAGCCACAATCTTTCTTTTGAATATTTGATTAGGAACCTCTGGTATTTTAATACGTCAAAGGAAACAAAAACAAGACAATTTTAGCATGTTCTAGAGACCTGAAAAAGAAAAAGGCAATCAGAAATATTGACTAAAGTCTAAAATTGACCGCGATTTGTAACGTTTTCTTCGCCTCCAGGCCATATGAATTATTAACACAGTGATATTCAATAGCGGTTTTACTCTGCCAACACAAGGTTATATTGACGGCTTGGAGTCTGCTACAATAAGCTTTGAAGAGTTTCTTATTTTGGCCTGTAATTTGCAATATAAAGTTGATAGCATCCGTCGGTGTTTACATTCTTAAGCCCTCTATTACGTTTCCGTTGGTTACCCTGAAAGAAGTTCTCGGTTCGCTAGAATCATAAAAAAAAATAAGGGCGAAAAAAAAACCTTACTCATCATAATCAATCGTTTGTAGAGATGAAGGCCTTTCATCGACCAAGTAGCCTAAGGCGTGTGAAAGCTAGAAGCCAAAAGCCTTCTTATGGCTGGCCACATATTCGAAATAAAAGGACGGAAAACACACCAGGAGTGTGAAGAGATCTACGAAATATTACAGGAAAAAATGATGAAGACTTAAAATAGTAAGTGGGACAAAGATATGGACACAAATACGAAGATGCATTGAGATATGAGATGTGAAGGCTTATTTGAACTAGTTTTGAAAGCTCTCGATTCTCGGCCCCTCTGACAGAAATAAACATCTATTCTCTTATTAATTAGTTCTTATAATTTTGTGTTCGCTAGTATAGCAAGGAAGACCAGAAATAACACGACTTACTGTCGAATAATCTTATAATTTTGTGTTCGCTAGTATAGCAAGGAAGACCAGAAATAACACGACTTACTGTCGAATTATACCTGTAAACCACAAACGATTGGGTTCGAACAGTTCATGGTTAAGACCAGGTGGTCAGAATCGAGTGTCTATGAGCTACAATCATCTCTAATACGAGTTCTTAACGTCTAAACCACTCAGACAGCACTCACATAATTTTGTAACAGACAAAACACATGTATATGGTCAATTAGATAAAAGAGATATGAAAAGAAATATGACTTAAAGCAAAAAATTTGTAGACTTATTTCCCAAGTCAAATATCTTGACCTTTCCATGTAGAAGTCGGCTGAGCAGGTGACGGTGTTACATTTAAAGGCATGAATTTTGCATAACTTTAAAGATAAGGCAAGATGGCTTTACTTGTGAAACAATGGCTGTTGCTATCTTTAGGGATATTTCTTGCACACGCTCGGCCGAAAGGTTTGTTTTGTTTTCCCTTTTGATCCTTTTGTTTTGACTGTATTATCAAAGGAATCAATTAGATCTGACACTAACAATGTATATATTTGTAAACAAAATGAGACAGACAAGTTATTAGGAGTGCTCGGTAGGCGAAAGTTTCTACTCAGTAGGTGACAGAAAATCATTGAAATGAAGGCCACATTTTATAATGAAATTTTCATGTTAAGTCCCTAAGGTAACCCTTTGAACTACAAATAATTTTAGCCAAACGTATGGTATTGTTGACAAAACTGTTACTCAAGGATGAAAAAAAAAGATGGTGCTATTTGTTGTGACGACATGTGACTGGTGAGGTAAAAAGAGCTTAACATAGATTTCATTTCACAATCACTGCTCAATGATTTCATAAATAGATCTTCCTCGGGGATAAAAGAGAATGATTTAAGGTGGAATTAAATCGAAGCCTAACAATAGATCGATATCCCATGTTACTCGACCAATGCACCGATAACGGTTGCTTATTACAATTCAAAACGTCAAATGACCATATAAATGAGAAGTCACCCAAAAATGTATCCTTTTCTCCAACCTAAATGAAGTGAAACTTTCTTTCTTTTCTTAATAATATACTCCCAATTTTCAGTAATGCAGTGCATTTCTCTTTATCACTTACAGGCCGTAGAGGAGTATTTTGTTTGTTTGTTTGTTTGTTTCTGTTCGATTTTTGAATACAGCGGAAAATTCACGGAAGTCAGTTTGGGTGTCTTTTACGAAGTGTTGTTGTTCATCTCTCAGTACCTGATCACAAAGACGATGTGCCCGAACTGTACGAGGGAGACAACTAAAGAACAGGCCGAAATTCTTAAGCCGTCACGGCCAACCGTCAACAAGGCAGTGGACAGGAATCAAGAGGCTTAAACGAGAGGCGCCATCGCAAATCCAGGTCCTGACTTTGGCCAGGCGGAATTGTCCCGTTTCAAATAAGTTATGCAATCGGTAACTGATCAGTTACTTATCTCCATGAGACTCTAGTCTAGAGCTTTATCAGTATCCTTACATTTATTATCCAACTGCACTAATTAGAGTACAAATAACGCTTGAATAGAGTAAAAAAGAATCCTGCGATATTCAACGGTTATTTGTACAGTTGGTTATTTCGTATTGTAAAAACACCTGTTTAACCAGTTGACTGCGCGTTGTTTGCATTTTGACTCGCTGTACGCGCTCTTCAAAATATGGCATAACTCGTAAAAATACTCAGCGATACTACACACGAAAAAGTCTCATAAGATATATTTATCCAATGTTGCATTAGCGCTAAATCTTAACCGAAACTTTTCGGTCCTACGCGTTGCCTTTTAAT